ATACATGGTGTTGTTTCACATGTGCTAATATTAAATTTTGTCCCAGGTCACTTCTAGGACTTGTGTTGGATTTTTTTTTATATTTTTTCTGTAATTTCGCGGTTTTGAGAGCACAAAAGAAGGAAAATTCAATCGGGGGACTTTCCCCCCCCCGCGCCCCGCTCGCTTTTCCCTCTCTCGTTTCACTTTCTCTTTTATCCCTTCCCCCCGCCCCCTTCACCCCTCTCCGTCCCTTGAAGACACCCACCATGCTTCGCGGTCTCTGAAAACGTTATCCAGTCAGACTGAAAAACGTGACAGCATGCTAGTCGGTTTCTACTAATACTCATTACGGTATTAACGAATCGAAGTTGTGATTTCATTAAGTCAGTTTTGGCAATTTTCCTGAATGGAAATTGATGAAACCTTTTTCCTTTTTTCTTCACAGGAGAGTCATTAGAAATGCTTACCACAAGTCCTGTGGTTGTAAACCAGCTCCAACTTCACAAACTCCACCTCAAGTGGCTGATAATAACTAAACAATAAATTTTTAGTTTTGTTTTTTCTAAGCTCATTTAGTTTGCGTTCCTTTGGGATGATCTGGAGCAGGATTTTTGATTCAATATCACTTGTCCCATCTGGACAAGGATTCACCTCTTTTAATGTACCAAAACTTGATCCTAGTGATGTTTACAATCAATCGTGCTCCAGACCATCTCAAAGGAACGTGCTCATAGCAAGCATAGTGGCATAATGCGTTGTTAAAATAGATTTTGATTATTGAAAAAGAGGGCTTTGATAAGAGAACTAAGCAATCTCTAAGTAGATTTCAGTAAGCCAGAATACTAGTTTTTTCTTGTTTTCGTGTGTACATGCGTCGAGCACCGTCTATTTGATTTTCAAGACGGAGGGTTACTGGAGTCCAGAGGGCGCAATTGGATGACAACCGCGCCCTCAATGTCTTGCTAGAGTGATGTCATTCGCACCAGTCCCTCTCCGACCTGGAATCAAATAAACGGTAGGCTTGATTGAGGACGTGGAATTCTATTGCTTTTTGATTGTTCTTAAGACGTGGGTGACGGGAACGAAGAAGAGGGTCTATGGTCCAGCTTAAGAAGTATCTGTGACTGGTGACGAACAGGCAGCAAAAATATTAAACTGTTTGTTTTGATGTAGTTTGTCATTGACTTCTGAGTGAGATCGGTGGAGGAACTTTTATGGCGAGTTTAGTAGCTGATGCCCATGACGAGCTTGTAGTAAAGCGTATTTGCAAGTTTCTGAAGATAATCAGCTCTATCGTACATGAAATTGAATAATGAAAGGAAATTTTGTATTTGGTGTGCGTGGTGGAAGTTGAGAGTGCAATAAAATCGATTCCACAAATCCAGGTTTGTTTGTTTGTTTATTTATTTATTTATTTATTTATTTATTTATAAGGAACTCAAGTTTTTAGCGATTTGTTCTCTGTGTGACGTTTTATAACGTACTGTAGCTTTGTTATGATTCGTCAAATTATGATCGCTCACAATTTGGCGTCCTCGATGTTCTCTTCCAGGGCCACCATTTAATTGTCGGGAACAGCTTGACTCTGTGTCATAGGTCTCAAAACGGCATCTCTCTTTTGCCTTCCTTTCGGCGACTTCCTTGTTTCTCGGTGACTTTCGGCTAAAAGAAGCGAGTCTTAGAATCTAAAGGTCTCAGTAAACTTTCCTGACAGGTGGTTAAAAAGATGTTCCGTTCTTTTGCCATTTGGATGGATGAAATGATTGACACTTGCTAAGTAGTAGATACACTATGTCTTCGTCCACTTTATGAAATGACAGTTTTGTTTTTGCGTTGAAGTTTGTGGAGATAAACCCCGGTTTAGTTCATCTTCTGTTAATTACTTTGCAGGACAGAGTTTCTCGAAACGCTTTCACAAGTTTTACCAACTCCCATGAACGTTCAAGCTTTTAGACACTCTTTATATATTACAGTTTTTGCGTTAAAATTCGTCTAAATAAGTATCACTCACAATTTTGCGTCCTCGACGTCCTGTTCCAAGGACAACTTTGGACAGGAGGGGGTAGTTAAATGATCGGGAACAGCCTGTGACGTTAATCGCTGACTCATGGGTCTTAAAAGACCTACTCTAGTTTGTCTTCCTTCGTCAAAGAACGGTTGCTTTCGTGTAAAATAGCGCCAACATAGCGCTTGTCGAAACTCGGGAATTCTTAGCACATACACAATTGGATTAACAAAAAAGTGGGAACAGTTAAGAAATACAAACACGTAATAAATTTTCGGAGGCATGGAAACATTTTGGACCTGTTTTAAGTAGTTCACAATAAATAGAGGTAACCACGTCAGCAATGGAAATATCGATACAAATAATAAGGTATTCGTTAGGCGTTGATTTGTACTGACTCTGCTGTGCTTCTTATGCCGGCCCCGTCGAACGATGACTTTTCTCCAAATAGCGATGTTGCACCCACCTACGATGATTGTTAGTATAAAAGGACTTGAGATCCAAAACCAGTTGGCTAGTTTTCGTGAAATATAGTAGTACGAAAGGTTGGCAATCGCGGAAAAACAGAGAGCTAGTATCCAAACTGTGCTTACAGCGATGCGATAAGCTCTTACTGACAGTGTTCGGTGTTTCAGTGGCCAAAGAACGGCGTACAGTCTCTCAAAGGATATCATGGCTGCAGAAATAAGCGAGGCTTGAGAAAAAATCACTTGTAATGCAGGAAAGAATATGCGCCATGGAGTTTCTATCGATACATTCCACAGTTGATACACATCACCAACATAGAAGTAAATGTATAATGGTAGACTCAGCGCTCCAATCATGAGGTCCGCAAAAGCCATATTGATGACAAGAAACAAGCTTCTCTTACGAACCTCTTTGGTAACGGAAAAAAGGAAAAGGGTGAGAAAGTTTCCTACAACTATACAGATAGCTTCCAACGATAAAACGCCGCAAACTGCTATTCCTTCGGCCTTACAGTAAAGCTGTTGTGTTGAAGATGTCGGAGATGTGTTGTTTGAGGGAATGCCAGCTGAAATGGTCTTCATTTCTTGGAAAAAGATGCAATGGACTTGACGTTGATGAGGATCAGTAACTGTAAACTTAACTAGAACGTAACTCTGATAAATCTATATCGTTCGGTGGCCGATATAGGAAAGAAACAAAAGCACAAAACTCAGCCAAAACAATTAGTGATGAGGAAGACCTTCATTTAAAAAACCTATCACTGATAAGGGGAACCATTAAGCTGTATATGAATGGCAATATACGTGTTATAACAATATCCGGAGTGTATAACGGCCCTGAACAAATAAGAAAACCATCTGCGTCTTTTGCTAAATGACATCGGTTTTCCACAAAACTGATTGAGTAGTTTTATAATTTAGTTAACATTGTCAGGGCTGAATAAATAATTGAAAGGCCTATATAAGGCGACCAAAATGTAGAGGCTTACCAAAGAAGCATTAGTGGCTGAACAGGGATTGCCTGTGATCCTATTCCAATGAGATTCAGACCTTTTAAGCAAACTTAGCTCGGGCAATCGATTACATAAGGAGCTAAAACAAGAAGGCATATTTCCCAGTCATGTACTCGATGGATAACAAACAGTAACTAAAGACGGCGGTTTTATGTCCCATTAAACTGTCTCGGAACAAAAGTAAATAAGAATACGTTACAAGAAAATGAATTTGTCAAAGGTATAGAAGGTCTCGAAAATTTGGAATAAGCACACAAAAAAATTCCTTGTCAATTACGCATCTCCCCCTTAATCCCCTACCCCTTTCGACGCCTCCTACGCAGGCTATGCACTTAACACAATAAGAAATTATTATCGTCCTCAAAGATGTAGGTGTTATATTAGTTTTAAAGTGGTTTACAAAAAAATATTAAATGAGCCATATATTGAGAAGGCACGCTAAAGGATTCTGGCCTTTGTCGACCTTTGCGTCTAAATTGAATCTTTTACTACACAAAACAGTAAAAAGCTTTTTGTCTCCGCAGACACGGTTAATTTTTGGTCCTGTTGCGACTATAATTGGGTAGCCTGAGGGCTCGATCGATAGTTTATAGTAAAGAGCAAGGTGAATATTCAGATACAAATTATTGCTTTATAGGAGCCGCTTCTATTTGAATTTCGCAATTTAATAATTTATTTCATTTGGTATCTGGCCAACAAATTGTTTTTAAAAGTGGTCTCATAAGAGCATGCTGTCATTTGTGACTGAAACATAAAGGTCGCCGGTTTTGGTTTAATTAAGCGTCAAACTCTTAAAAAATTGCCCTCTGAGAGCCGGACATTTGCTTACTAGAAAGGAATAGTAAAAGCCGAGTTACGTGTCAGGCGTGTGATTATTGGAATCCTGTTTGTAATATTTACCCGATATATTTAAAAAAAACCTTGTTGTTTGAAGAATATAATGGGTATACATTCATTAGCAAACCAAATTCAAAGTTAATTCAATTATAAACAAAAGTTCACATTGTTACGAGCTGCTTGTGCGGATGCAAATCCCTGGAGTACTTTGTTAACCTGTTTAAGACATCCCGATGTCTTTTAGGGCCTGTTTACATGGAGTGGGGGACCCCACTCTAGTGGGGTTGGTTTCTTTTGTTTTCACGCTCTGGGGGACACAAAACAAAAGAAACTTACCCCACTAGACCGGGGTCCCCCACTCCATGTAAACAGGGACTTAATGTCCTCCGGGACTTAATGTCCTCCAAGAAACCTTTTAGGTCCTATCTTAATATAATTTTCAAGAGTGCGTTAGTGATATGGTTTCGCTCTTTAAATGTAGAGATCTCTGATGTGCCCTAAATAAATGAAGTTGTGAGCTTATCGCCAAGAAAACTGGAAACCGTTTGACCTTTTTTGGAATTACCCATAAATCCATTAGGTCCCATCGTTCTATCATGGTTTATACTTTTCAACAGACAACGTTTTTTCAGTCAGATGAATATGGTCAACGACCATCGGCATATGCATAATAAAAACCCTATGCAGCGTTCAAGTTAGCCTGTAAACAGACGTTGTTTTATTTTTCTATTCGTTCTTTCCAAAAACGTCGGCGAGCGAAGCAAGCGTGCGAGAGATTTTATCACCCGCCCTCGACGGACTTTTAAGAGAAAATAGAGGGTCTGTGAACAGACTTTCCCAGTAGCACTGCACTTTATTTATTAAGTAATGACCAAGAAGGCCATAAAACGGGAAGCCTAGCTACATCCCTCCGATTGGTTTAATCACGGAACTTTAGCAAAGTCAAAAAATTCAAGCAATGGGTTTTAGGGATGGACCATTAGAAAAGTGATGTGGGGGGGGGAGGGGTGGGTGAGGATTTTAAGAGATGCAAAATTTTTTTGGTACATTGAAAGAGAAAATCTTTTTTTTTTTACCGATGGCTGGAGTTTTTTTTATTCATTAGGTAAAACTTTCATATGTCACATTTATAACCGAATAATAACAAGCCAAACTTGAACCTTCGAGGTAAGCACTTCTTGTTGTTGTTTTGTGTTATTTGTCCTTGTCTTTGAGAAAATTGCGTCCCAAAAATTGACCTTGCCAGAGCCATATTTAGTACACTTGGCGACTGTTTTGGGACGCCTTTGTTATGAAGGTTTCTTCTTGTTTCTATTCTTAACTACGATTGACAAATGTTTTAAGGATGGAATTGTGGCATAGGCATAGTTACAGACTGAATGCTGTTATTTTTCAGCCATAAATTTCATTTGAAAATGGCTGAAACTAACTACATTCGGAGCTGGCGCCGAGCAAGTGTACCCACACGGTGTGTAAAGTTCCAATCGACAGACAAGTTTGTATTGAGAACTGTTTCGCTCAAGTGATATCCTAGATAAACCCTGCTAATTGTTCGTAAAGCAGTATGTTAATTTCGCTCATCTTTAATGTTGAAATAAAACTACTAAATTACATATCCAGTGAATACAATCGCCTCACGTCGCTCCTCGCAGCTTGACGTATTCCAAGGCACTGAAGAGACTCGAATGAATTTTGTACTTTTCCCTTTTATAAACTATAAATAATTGTTGTATCAATTATGGGAAAACACCTAATAACATTTTTTGTCCTTCGTTTAGGCTCCTAAGTGTTGTTGTTATTTTTTAAACAGTGTTTTAGATTTCCTTTTGCTTTTTTTGTTTTTCTTTCTTGTAGGATTTGCTGAACACACATAGTCAATGAAGACAGTAAAATTGTGGTCAAGTACTCTTCTGAGAGGGCACAAATCAATTAATCTTTCTGTATTAAACAGCAACAAAGTTGCTTTTGTCATGCATGAGAGCCAGAAGGTGGCATCTAAATTATTTATGATCAGAAACTTTATTTATCACTTCTGAAGTGTATACACCTATTTCAATTAAGGTTGCTACCGTGAACCGTGTTTCATAGCTTGCAGTGCACTATGGTAAACAATTCTGGAGCGGGAAGTTTAGTCTTGTTCACGTTCATTGAAATAATGGAGACCATTTGTGAAAAGGCGTTCAAGAGAGCTTTCAAGTCAAATGGCTGCTAAAATTCTTAGGCATGCGCGAGCTGAAAAATTTCATTTACAAAATCTCAAAGTAAAAAATTAGAAGCCTCTTCTTTTAACATGATTAAATGAATAGGGTTTTACCGCCTGATTAAGCTGTGTTTTTGCATGGGCCAGAATGCTGGTTATTTCAATAAAGCAAATCAACGCTATTATTTTCTTTCATTCAGTTTTAAAAAATTGCCTCAAAAATAGATAAAACGTAATGTTAAGTTATTTATTGTTGTTCAACAAACGCCTTGAATTTGTTTGTTTGTTTTTTAAATCCAAAACTCCCACGTGCACGAGCCAAGCAAACTCGTTGAAAATTTGCAGTATTTGCATATTACCGCAGAGAAAAACCTAACCTCAGATCACTGTCTTAAATTAACAAGCCTGGGATTCAGTGTTTTGAAATACATTGTCTACACGTTTTGCTGACATAGCATAGCAGCGTTAGCAGCGTTTGCCTCTAGGTTTCTAGGCTCGTTGCGGGCACATAATTTACTAGACTTGCTACAATAATGCACCGCGGGCTATGAAACATAGATCATGCATCATTCTTCTCAGAAGCAACCTTAATTGAAATAGGTGTATATTACTTCTTTGTGAGTGGGACAAATTAACTGTGTTTGAGGGTCAATGCTTGTATTAGCTACAGAGTCATGTGTTTAAGTTGGTTAGTGTTCTTCCCTGAAACGGTCTGTATCTGAATCACCTTGTTTTTCAAACCAAAGATGGACTTGATTAGCACTATTATTGTATTCGGTTTTATAGAGATCCAAAGCAACAATGTACCTGTAGATGATAAACCTTACCAAGATATATTCTAAATCAAATTAATAAAACATACCTGTACTTGTTTGGGGTATGAATTTTGTTTTCAACAACATGATAATGTGACCAGACAGTCATATCTTTTGAATCCCTCATCCTTTTACCTGAGACTAAACAAAAACCCCATAACCCCTGATGTTACTGTTTTCGTTTTTTATATAAGCAGCTTCTATTTTTCTTTGGGAACAGTGTTCATGTTTATTTCAGAGGTGATTTACAGTATTCCCTATCACATCATTAACACTACACAAAAACTTAAACTTTGTTTCATCCTAAAAAGAGGTCAGTATTTCAAAGATAATATATTTCTAGATTTTATTAAGCCTTATGGAAGACAAGTGTTTCCTCCTGAAAAGGAAGTGAAGGTTCTACTATTAACCAGTAGAGTTTGCTTCCCAGTTGTATTCTAGTAGTTTTACATAACATTTTTAAAAGCGTTGCAGTTCGCTTTTTCAAAGACCTGACTGAAAAGTACCTTGGGTCATTGTACATTTATACCTGAAAATAACAAAACAACTTGCTTCACTATGAAAATTGATTTGAAAAAGTTAGAAACGGCGTTTCACGGTGGTCTGAAAGCAAATGTCCTTTCTCTGCTGTGAGCTCTTCCCCGC